TTTTGATTAGCATTACATTTGAAGAAAAAGAAACAATGAAATAAGTTTTATTTGATATCTTACCAAATTTTGATAATAGTATTTTTCATGAAAAGGGGTATTTAGGAAAGATCCTAAAATTCATGTTGAAGTCTAAGGGGTCAACAAGACAATTTTGAAGAAGAAGGCTAAGAAGAAAACATTTATTATAAAGGTTTAATAATTCAATGAAATGGTATTAGCTCAGAAATCACAAAGAGATGAACAGAACAGAGTTCGGAAATAGACCCAAAAATATAACAGAAGCTGGTAGGACAGAGATGGCAACAAAATAAGTGAGAAAATAGGTAACTATTTATTAAATGACAATGGGAGAAGTGGTTTTCAGTATGGAAAACAATTAGATCCTGGCCTCACACAACACAGAAATATAAATTTCAGATGTGTTTAAAGATTTGAAAGTTTTATCTAGGGGCACCTGGGTGGCTCAGCAGTTGAGCATCTGCCTGTGGCTCAGGGTGTTATCCTGGCGGTCCTGGGATGGAGTCTTGCATCAGGCTCCCTGCAGGGAGCCAGCCTATCCCTGTGCCTATGTCTCTGCCTCTCTCTGTGTCTTTCATGAATAAATAAATAAAACCTTTTTAAAAAGTTTTATCTAGTAAAGAATAATAGCAAGGTACAGAAAAGAAACTTGGAAAACCAAAATATATTTTTTAACAGTCTCTATGGGAGAGGTGCCTGGCTGGCTTAGTCGATAGACTCTTGACCTCAGGGTTGTGAGCTCAAGCCCCATGCTGAGTATAGAGACTGCTTAAAAATAAAATCTTTAAGAAGCAAACAAACAAAAAACCTCTGCAGGAAATGCAAAGTAAAGGAGCACTGAAACACATTTCATGCAGATTACATGAACCAAAGGTTTGTTTGTTTTTGTTTTTTTTTTTTTTTTTTAGATGAACCAAAGTTAAAACATCTGATGGCACAGTCGCGGATAGCAGATACAAGGAACTCCAAAACAATGCTGGTGGGAGTATAAAGTGACCCAACCACTACAGAGAGCAATTAGCAAAACCTAGTAACACATAGATGTTGATGCGGGCATATTATCCTACTCAGTCATTCAACTTTTGGGAATATAAATCCAAGACACACATAAACCTAATCAAGGATAAGCAATATTATCAAGGACATGCAATATTTTTCATAATAGCAAAAGGGAAAAACATCTTTTTGTCCATCAGTGAGCAATATTTAAACTCTGGTATACCAAACAAGGAAATGCTATGTTGAAATGTATCAACTAAACTTACAACTATCAACAAATGTTATCAACATACGTTTAAAAAAAAAAAAAACAGTTCTGTGTGAAAAAAGCAAATTACAAAAACAAATAACAGATCTCCATTTACATAAACTTTTAAACATAAAGTAGGACTACACATTCTGATGGGCACACACCGTCCCAATGTTGCAGGTTGCACGGACTCAACCCCAAATTCTCATCCTTCGCTGTCTGGATTTCCCTCTTGCTCATCAGACAAGTTTCTACTTAATGGCAATCCCATACTTAACCTTAGGTAGCTACTACATGTAAGGTGCTATACCCGGTGCCAGAGAAGACAGAAGAATTGTGCAAGGCTACTCTGACCCTGCAGAAGGGCACAACTCAGCAAGGGCAGTCATCTGAGAGACTTGGTTCTGTCTTTGCTCTGGCTCACATAACATGCAAATTCAGGAAGAGTGCTTCGAGGCCCAGTTCCTTCATCTAGAAAATGAGATAGCCACCTTCCTCCTATTGTGAAGATTGACTATATATATATATATATATATATATATATATACTCACACATATATACATACGCACAGTGTCCAGCACACGGCAAATACTCAAACACTCTTAGCAACCGCAGGCTGGAGCCACTTGCGTGAATATAATCTTCTAAGCAGCATCTCGGTCACATTGATGGTAAAAAGAAAAGGCACTAGATGGTTTTGCTTATCCTCTCCACAGCTGGATGTAAGAGCCCACACCCTGTGGTGTCCCCTGGAGACTTGGCCCCCATCCTGTGGAACACAGGGGCCTTTCGTAGGGCAGCAGTTTGCCTATTTATTTTTCCGAGTTCACCACCATAGTGCTCTGCCTGCCTCAGGAAGAGAACTCCTTCTCTCACACCTTTGGGGAAATTCTGGGGTGAAATGAGACAAAGATAACCACAACACACCTGACCTAGCTTCTCAGTCGACCCTCTTTAAAATTCCAAGGACATACCACACCGAAGAGAGTGTCTCAGCCTCCCCCTTCTCCAACATACAAGAGCCTCTAACCCACAAACCCCCCTCCTGAAAAGCTGGGACAGGGTTCCATCCATGGACTTAGTGCAGCAGGCACGAGAGGGAAGGCCTGCCTGCCAAACACTGGAAAAACCACAGTGTTTGAAAATCATCTCTGGAGATACCGAGCTGTTGGATTTTATTCCTGGGAGTCCTTCCTGGGGGCTTGGGAAAGAATGCCAGGTACTGCGGGTGTCTAGCCAAGGTGGCGCCACCTTGTGGCAACAGCACAAAGAGTTTATAACTCATTCGGCCTTGACATTCTGGCACCCTCTACCAATTTTTAATTTTGAGAGATTCAAAATATTCCCATTTTTATGTTTCAAATGATAAATCATTCATATTTTTTGATTTACATTTTATCACGACACTATTTCAGATTTGCATTTTTCAAATACACTTTATGGATAAACTGGCTTCAATTTATCAGTATCAGCCCTATTGCGTCTGGGGTCTGGCTTGTTTCACTGCCCAAGAACATCCTGAGGAGATGGGGAGGAGACAACCAGTTTAGATTCCACCCAGGTCTTAAGACCAAATTCTCCCTTCTAGATTTCTGGACTGGCTTACATATAACTACCTTTGGTTTGCATACATTAAAAAAAAAGAGGTAGAAAATCATCAAGCAGTTTCATCTTAGCTTTGAAACAAAACTGGTGAAATAAATAATAATAGGAATAAAGACAAAACTTGCCTGACAAAACTAAGCAGGGTGTTGGTTACCCTTGGGGGACAGTAGGGAACCTGGTAACATTCTAGATCTTAATCTGGGCACTGGTTACACAGGTGTGTTCAGTTTGTGAAAATCCAGAGTGTACATTTCAGATCTGTCCCCTCTTCTGTGATTATGCCATAGCTTAATATGATATTAAAACAAATTCACCAAGTTCTAACCAGTCGTCCCTCTTTAACTTGCCTGTGGGACAAAAGGCTATGCAGACACAGTATGAACCAAGAACGGAGGATGCTCATTCCTCCCCGAGGTATTTCAGTCTGCATCAATTGGTTTCTCAGAAGGCCAAGACCACAGATGAGCTCTCCTTCTGCCCCTCTGGGCAGGGAGGAAGGAGAAAGGACACAATCTAAATCACTGTTAGTTTACATTGCTGAGCCTGGCTATTACTTCACTTTTCCGAAAATGAACAGGCAATTACCTGCCCCCCCCCCCACAGGAAACCTTGGCCACAAAGAGATACACACATCTCTACAGAGACACACTTCAGCTCCACAAAGACAGTGCCCACACACACACACACACACACACATACACGGTGGCTCACCACCGCCACAGACAGCCCCTCACCCCCCCCCCCCACAGAGACAGCCAGCTTCTGGCCCAGACACCACAGATGGGGCAGGGGATCATTGGAAGAGATGCAGCTACCCATGGGCAGGTAAGGGACATCAACTGGAATATGAAAAGTTGTATTTTCAAAGTCTTACCAAACTAAATTTCTCTGGAAAGATTTTTAGATCTGTAATAGGGTCCCAGAGACTGCTGTAAAAAAATCCTTTAAATCCCCTCCACTTCTAGCCCCAGCTCAGACCATCTGGAACCATCTTCCTTCTATTTTCACCTCTACCATGTCCCATGAACCCTAACTGCCTTGGGAAGACTAAAAGGCAGGGATTATTCTGCTTTATTGATTAAAAGATTGAGGCTCAGGGGCGCCTGGATGGCTCAGTTCGGTAGAGCATGTGACCCTTGATCTTGGCCTCTTGAGTTCAAGTCCTACCTTGGGCATAGACATTACTTAAAAAAAAAAAAAGTTGAGGTTCAAAGAAATCTGTCAGACATCATAAAACTATCTGAGTAGCCATCTGATCAGCCTGAGTTAGGGCGAGGTAGCCTGAGTTGGGAGGAACAGGGTAACAATGTCAAAGAGGAGGGGTGACTCTCTCCACAGCCCAAAGCTGGAGAACCACCCACAGCACCACAGAAGCTGCCTCAAAGGAGCTGGAGTAAACTACTCACATCCGTCAACAGCTGCACATTCTGGGACTGGGCTCCACCCTCCCCATCGAAAGTGCAACAGACCCAGATCACACGGCCTGGAGTAGGGCGGCCAGGAACGAAGCCAGACTCCAGGCATTTTCTTAGGGTCGATGAGAGCCAAGGTTGGCTAAGCCAACAGCAGAGCGTACCTGCTTCTCTTACAAAGTCCTTGGGCCCAGACTGGTGTGCACAGTTAGTCTCTCCCATACTTATCCTCGGGGACAGGGCTTACTGGGGAGAAGGAAACGGAGCAGGATGGATCCAAGAGCAAGCACCTAGCAAGTTCCCTTACCTTGCTAAGACATTAGCAAATTAAGTGCCTGGGAATGGGGGTGGGTGGGGGAGGCGATGCTACAAACGCTGCAGGTCCAGGGGTTCCCGCCACGGAAGCGCCTGGCTCCACGCTCACTCCAGAGGTCCCCCCGGATGCCCCCATGCCTCTGTAGGGTCCCTTGGGATCGGCTCCCGACCTCTCCAAATGCGGCGGAGGGGAAGGAACTATGAAAAGGAGACCGGGACGAAGCTGAAGTGACATCCACCCGCAGGAGCCCGCCCCCCCCCCCCCCCCTGCAGTCCGCTAGGGCTCTTACTCCGCGCGCCGGCCGCGACCTTGAGCGAGTCCCTGAATAGCCCCATTTCACAGAAAGCAAGAGTCGGGGAGGCAAGTCGGCGGCGCTGGGCTGCTCCGGGCGCTTACCCGAAGGCTTCGGCGCCCCGCGGCGGCGCCCGCGGCGTAGTAGGTGCGCGGAGGACCGCAGCCCGGCAGCCTCGCGGCCCGTGGGGGCTGCAAACCGAGCGCCACGCAGGGACCCGCTCCGGCCCCGCCGAGGGAGGGACGCGCGGGCCTGAGTCTGCGACGATTCTTCGGCAAGTTCGGCGCCCCCGCGCCCCCGCGCCCCCCGCCCAAGCCCCTCCGCAGAGCCGGCGGCCGCGCGGGGCCCCGGCGCAGGACCCGCGCTCACCCACCCGCCCCCGAAGTTGCGGCAACGCCAGCGGGAGAGCGGCGCAAGGCGGCCGGAGGGGCGGGGGCGGGGGCGGTACCCACGCGGAGTGGCCGGGCTGGAGCAGGCCCGAGGCCGGGGTCACCGAGGGCGGCCGCGCGTGGACGAGGGAGCGCGGGCGGCGAGGCAGGGCGCGGGTCGGTCCGCGCCGGATCTGAGCTGCAGCGCCGCGGGGCCTCGGCTGCCAGAACCGCAGCCGCAGCGGGAGCCGGGGAGCGGGCGGGAGGCGGGAGGCGGGAGCCCGGGAGCGGGCGGGAGGCGGGAGGCGGGAGCCCGGGAGCGGGCGGGAGGCGGGAGGCGGGAGGCGGGAGCCCGGGAGCGGGCGGGAGGCGGGAGGCGCGAGCGCGGCGCTGGCAGCGGCGACGAGGGAGGCGCCCGCGCCGCAGGAGCCGGGGGCAGCCTGGGCCAGCCCGGCCGCCGCCGCCGCCGCCGCCGCCACCTGCGGGCCGGGCCGCTGGCCAATCAGGACGCCCGGGGCGGGGGGGTGCGGGCCGGCCGGCTGTCCGCAGGCTCCCGGGGCGCGCGGGCCGCACGCGCCGGGAGGGGAGGGGCAGGGCGGGGCGCCTCGGGGGCAGGCGGCGCCGGGGCCGGGGCTGCGCGCGCCCGGGCGGGGACCCGCGCCCCTTCCCGGCTCTTCCCGGCTCTTCCCGGCTCTCCCCGGCTCTCCCCGGCCGCGCAGTGCCGCGCTGGGGCCGCAGACCTCGCGTCGCTCCGGTGTTTCCTGTCGCCCGTCCCTGCGCCCCGGCGGCCGGACCCGGTGGCCGCGGAGTGACTCGTCTCGGAGTCCGGGGCCGGCCCGGCTCTCCCAGCGCGGCCGCTCACCGTCCCGAGGGTGGGCGCCCCGGCTCGCGAGCCTCCCCGAGCCGGCTTCTCCGAAGACAGCCCCTCCCCACCGCGCAGGCCCTGGGCACCTAAGGCCGGCGTGGTGGCCCACGCCCTGACCTGGGCCGCTTTCACCTGTGAGTCTGCAGCGGACCGTGCGTGGCTCGCGCGGGGCTCGGGGTCCGTCCCCGGCTGCCGCGCGCCAGCCCCCGGAGCCCCACCGCGGCCGCGCCGCCTGCCCGGAGGACGCCGCCGGGCTGCCGCAAGCGAGGGACACACTCGGGCGCCTGCCGGGGGGTCCAGGTCCTGGACGCACGCCTGGGAGTCGCAAGGTTCCTCTCCAGGCCAGGGCTTCCCCGCGCGTTCGCGTCCACTAGGCGCAGGGCCCGGGATCTCCCCAAGACAGGCTGCCTCAGCCCGGCCGCTGGGCTGTGAAGACACGTTGTCAGGTCCAGCGGCAGCGTGGAAGTCACCCCAGCAAAATAACGCGTTTGTGGAGCTACACTGGTGATTCCTAAAACCCCACGAGTCCTCCCGCAGGACGTGAATTAAGAATGTTCCCTCCGTATAAATTTGCTCAGTAGAAATGGATGGCTCCTTTGCTGCTCCGTGCGCAGCAGGAAAAAAAAAAAACAAAAAAACAAAAAAACAAAAAAAAAAACCATAAACAAGAACCTTTAAGAAGGGAACTTGGAAGGTAAAAGAGTTGAAGTCTCTATAGATCTAGTGTCCTCTCTTAAAAGGATTTTATTATCCACAAACTGGCTAGAGAGGAAGAAAGTTTGTGTTTTGTTCCTATTTTGTTTACATTTAACGTTAGTTTTATTTACCTGTGCTTGGTTAGCATTGGCATGCTATGAAATTCAAAAAGTGCAGCGGGGTACACAGCTGAGAAGACCCCTCCCACCCTTGCTCCGGGCCTCTCAATTCCTCTCCCTGGAGGAAACATTGCTGTCATGTTCCTGCTTACCCTAGAGAAAATCTAATCGACCAAATGTTCTTATTTTTACCTTTGGTTATACAAAATAATAGGTCTAACTTCAGGCACAGGCCAGCAGAATAAAGGGTTGAATATAGAATGTGAAGAGATTACTCTCCACATGGGACCCAGTAGTGGCTGCCTCAGGACAAGAATGGGGACTGGGTTCAAAGATTATTTGATATCATACTGGTGTTTGCAAAACTGGCCTAATACATAAATTCACCTCTTTCCAGAGTCTTTCAGAGTCAAGATACTAACATCTTGCATAACTCATAAACACTTCAAAAGAAAAACAAATTACATGCAGAAGAGTTCAGTGATTTGAGTAAGCTTACAAACAAGACAGGGAGAACATACAGATGGAAATCCAGAGACATTATGAACAAGAGCCCCAGTTCCCTATTTGTCATCTTGTACGTCAGAAACAGGCACAATTTCCATTCTTCACCCGAGCTATTACTGACTTTTTTTTTTTTTAACATTCCCCATGAAAGGTTTGGCATTTGAAGTTGAGTTGGGTAACAATGAGCTCGTAAGATGACCTAAACTGCTATACCCCCTTGATTATTCCATCCTGAGCTATCATTCAAGATAATAATTTTACTGAATATCCATCCCTTCTTTTGCTTCTCATGACTCACAGGCAGTATTTGTTTTTCCCTTATCTGCATGATCCCGACCACTGCAAAAGTTTTAATGGATTCTTCCTTTATCAAGAAGAGCTCATTGACTTTTGTGATCCAAGGATATGTATCTCATCTTCTTTTAAAGCATGAATCAGACAATCCATATCATAGCCAGAAGATTGATGAGTTTATCCTGGCAGAAAAGGACATGTCTCAGGAGGATTCTGGGTAGAATTAAAAGAGCAGTAATCACAAGACTGGGGTGCCAATATGACCTTACTGCTTCCTGTCTTTGTGACCTTGGACAAGTTACTTAACTTTGCTGAATCCTAGATTCCCTAAATATAAAATATGGTGTAATCCTCTCCACTGCCCTGCAAGATTGTTATTATTTGATACAATGTACGTGAAATTGCTTGATACATAAGACTTAATATGTTAGCAATCTAAACATGATCATTTTAATCTGGCAAAAAATGAGTTTATTAAGGAAGTTTCTAAAACATTTTGTGGCATGTGCTGGAATAGAAGTGATGAAACCTTCACCCACTACTTCCCTATCAGCCAAAATATGATACCTGATTTTTCAAAAAAAAATGTATCTCTATCTCTTCCATTTCAATTTAGCATTTGTTATGTAATACAGTTATTTGGGTGTATCTCTAATCCCCCCAATTAGACTGGAAATGCCTTGAAGTTGGAATCATGTCACATCTTTTATTCCGAATGGGCACCTCAAATGGGATCTTGATAAATTGTAGACATCCAATCATTATATGTTGAATGAAGAGTAAGAGGGTAGGAAAAAAATTGTTAAATTGGACCTCATCAAGAAAGATTTTTTAAAATTCATTTGTTCTGTAAAGACCCCATTAAGAGGATGAAAATACAATGGTACACTGGGAAAAAATATCTTCAAATAACATATGTGACAAAGGACTTATATTGGAATATATAAAGAGCTCTTGACATTCAATAGTAAAAACTCCCAAATGGCCCAATTAGAAAATGGGCAGATGATATGAAGAGATATTTAACCAAAAAGTATATACACCTGGCAAATAAGCACATGAAGAGATGCTCAACATCATTAGCCAAGGGAAATGTAAATTAAAACTATCATGAGATATCACTGCATACTATCAGAGTGGGTTAAGATTTTTAAAAAATTGTGACAACACCAAATCCTGGTGAGGAGACAGAGAAACTATGGCACTTACGCGTTGCTGGTGGTAATGTAAATGGTGCAACCACTCCGAAAACAGGGTGGCTATTTCTTTTAAAGCTAAAATTGAACCTACCACACCACCCAGCAATTTCACCTTGGGCGTTTGTCCTGGAGAAATGAAAACTTGCATTCTCACAAAATCTTTTACAAACTAAGCCACACAGGACCAGTCCTCAACAACTCCACCCAGCACAAGATAGCAAGAGAGCAGAATACCATGACACACAACCAGTCTACTTGCCATACAAAGAAACAGGATGGAATTCACTGGACTAAGTGAACGCTCATGGTTTTGGATAAGTCAGGGAGAAGCGGAGGCTTCAAAATGGAAATCCCGGACTTTCTGCTCAGAAGCAGCAATTAATTGGAAAAAAAAAAAGACGTGACCTTATATGTATCTCACATTGATGAAATACAGCATATTGCACTAAACAGAACTAGAAATAGAAATGCACAGAAAATAATTCATTATTTATGGTAAGTATAGTGCTTTTCTCCAAGGTATCTTTTAGAACAATTAATATTTTACTATACAACTATTTGCTCCCTACTAAATAATGGCTTCTAAAAGGTTGTATTGCTTTCTTTAGCAAAGTTGATTCTATTTTAGAAGGACAGGACAGTGTAGAAGTAATTATAGAATCTTGTCATTCACTGATTACAGCATCCAATTACACATCCTGGCACTGCTAAGAGATACTGATAAAAATATTATTTTATATGAGTAGATGATTACTGACTTACAGTCTTTGTGACTGTATCCTCTTACAATTTTTCTTACTATAAATTAGGTCCCTACAATAAAACCCAGACTTGGCTAATAACCTCTGTAGCCAGATCAGATACTATGCTTCTCTGAATCTTGAACCAACTGACATCTAAAGCAGCTGACTCAGCCTGCAGTGTGCTGAGAGTTAATAAAATTAACAGTAATGCCCGGAAACTTAGCCAGTGCCTGTGTGTAAGTGTGCATCCCCTTCATAACAATCCTCAAAGCCCGAGATATGATTTATTCACTAAGGGTTAGCAATAAGGTTGCCATTGAAATGGCAGTCAGGCCTCCGCATAGAGAAGCATACAGATGAATCTGTCCCCTTTCCCTCAGTGCCTGATCCTTCCTCCCTTGCTCTGCATTTTCTTTATTCCACAGCATTTGTCACCCTTTAACATAATCATAACTTTCTTATTCTGTCTAATACTTA